TATCTAAACCATCTTCTTTTCATAGCAAAGACTCAGAGAAAAATGTTTTTGGTAGAGCAAATTCACCACCACCTTCACCAGCCAGCAGAAACCCGTCAGTAAGACATAATATGAGATCTCAATCGCGATCTTCTTCCATGAAAGACAATGCTGTAAAGATTACTCTGCCTAGAACAGGCAACACCAAGCAAAGCCAAATATCACTTGAAAGTGACAGAAGTGAAATAAAATCGTTAGATGAATTGTTTTCAAAAGCAGCTGATGCAGAAGATTCAACTAGCAGCAGCTCAAATGGTAAGTGTTCTAAAATACTGTCTCAGTAGACTTGATGTGAATTGTACTAAGCTACTGATAAATTTACTGATAAACATGGGAAAGTACTCACTTTGAAAGGATTCAGTAATGTGATTTTACATAAACCAAGGCTTTCTCAAAGGAATTACGTTGATCTGTTTCTTCTTCTGGTGTAATGTATTTGTATTTTTCTCGGCTTTTGATTGAATAGGCTCAGTTTAGTGGTGCTTCCCTGGGTGACACTTAATTATGACATCAAAACAATGACAGCATTTAGAATAGTTGTCATATACCAGTGGAACAATGTACTAATGGGTCTGAGTGAGAACAAGTGTAAATGAGGGGCATCAAGAATCTCTTGATCGTGGGTTAGCAGATCCACCGACAGGCAAAGGAGGAAACTTTAGAAAGAGCTGCTGCTAAGTTAAAGGTTTAGAGTGATTGACTGCTATTACTTTTTAGTATTACACTCTAAACTAGGAATGTTGTACTGATTTCTTTTTCCCCACTTTTCTCACTTAAGGGAAGGTGTACGGTAATTTTCATGCAAACGCTCGTGATGATTTGTCATTTGATTGCAGGCTTCAGACTGAATATCCTGAGCCTTGATGATTTGGCACCAAATATCACCAGTGAGACAGCAGAATTAAAGCAGAAAGTAAGTAGAAATTCCGTACTAGCACATATTTCCATTCTGCCTTTGTTTGGTGGAAGGTGGATATTCTAAAATGAATACTTCTATTCTACTCATAGGCTATCTGAGGTGGGCACGTCTCATTAGCTGTAAGGGTTAGATCAGGATTTTACAGTCTACTGAAACCTGACCAAATTCTTTTTTTAGTGTCTGCATTTCCTTACTAAATGTAACAGCACTGCACAGTTTGCAAGGCGATGCAGAAAAGCAACATTTTTTATTTCCTAATAAAGTAGTGATATGCAGCAGAACAGATGAATAATGATGGAGGCATATTCTAGGTTATATGTTGTTGATTCTCTTAACATGCAGTTGTTGTGTTTTACAGGGGACAGACATTCAAATTCCTCAAGAATCAAACGGAATTCCCAAAAAAGATACATTCCTGGTGGAAAAGGACCAAGCCTCTCTTAAAATGACAAGCACAGTAACTGGTGTGAATGATGCTTCTGAAGGGGATATTGAAAAAACTGTGACTGAAGCTGAAATCTCCGAGCATTTAAGTGGAGTTTCAGCAGATTTCCCTAGACACAAACAGGATTATCTTGATCATGATGAGAGAACTGTTAATTCAGAATATTCTGAAGACTTTGAAAGGTCTCTGTCTACAGCAGACAGGGAATCTGTATCGAAAATGTCAGAGGAACGTTCTGAGAGCTGCACGTATTCTGGAAAACACCCATCTTCAGCATCGTCAGCTTTATTTACCAGGGAGCGGCATGACCAGGTACACAGAGTAACTGTCAAAGAAACTGCAGTTCAGACAATGGATCCTCCATTCACCTATTGCTGGTCAAAGAGTAAGTTCACAAGATACTGCCCTATTCAGGCAATTTTTACACTTTCATATTTTATATGCTAGCCTAGTCAGCCTTGATAGAGTTCTTCGTTTCAGTACTAGCTTCCCCTAGCTGACATTAAATTAAAAACTTTCTGAAGCCCAACACTTTAATCTGCTATCTGTAGAAAAGATGGGGATTGGACAACAGAGTAAGAACTTGGAACTGTTTTTTGCTAAAAAAAAAAACCCCAACAGGAACTCTGGATGGATGAGCTAGTGTTAGCGACGGAGCTTGCAATAGCCTGAGTAATATTCTCAAATGGAATTCAACGGCTTTATTGTATCATCTTTACTATTGTAAACAATACCATCATATTGTTGCTAAAGTGATCGCCCGTCATAGAGTTCTTTTTTGCATTGTATTTATTTCTTGGGAAAGCACTATGACCCCATTTACAAAAGACAGATGTGACTTTGAACAGTTGCCGAGGGGTAGCTCCTTTCCTTTCTCTCTTTACCTAAAGGAAAAAGTGGTAAGAGCCACTTCTTGCCATATTCAAGGAGGAGAAAATACAAACTCGGGTGTGCTTGAAAACAATAGCTTCCTTCAAGTACAAAAGCCTTTATTTTTACTCTGTCTAGGGTTAGAAAAGATGCCTTCTGCAATGGCATGTGTGTGAACGTTAAGAGTAAAGAAACTGCGGAGGTCATAGAACTAGTTTAGCATTGTTTTGGCTGACAGAATTCCCTGTTAAGCTCTACAGTGGTTCTACAGCAACTGATGTCCCAAGAGACTGCTGAAGATGAACCAAGTTCTAGCACTAAACCTTTCCACCCTCCAAACCCAGTAATTCTGATTTTATCCTGTACACAGCAAACACCTCTGCAGTACTTGACCCACCTGTAGGGAACAGCTACATTGATCCAGTACCTGTTGCCAGTCACGTCATCAGCATGGATGCAGTAGAAGGTACTGAAAAACATGTTTCTTACTATTCTGTTTTACTCTATTTTATGCATCTAACCCCTGCTTGGATTGTTCAGCCCTTACTATCTGACTGTAACCTATCACTAAAGTATATATTCTCCATTTCTTGCAGCCTTGACAGCATACAGCCCCTCAGTTCTTGTTTTAAATGCCATGTTGAAACAGCACTTGATGTTGACTCAGCAGTTTGTAGAGAACATTCACCACCTTCACTTCTCCCTTGTGGAGTCATTAGAGAATGAGAAGTTCCACTACCACACCCTGGAAGAGGCTAAAGAGGTATTTATGATAGACTAGACAGCAGCCTCGATAGCGTAAGTGTATATTCCTTTCCAAACGCTTCTAGTATTTGCAGCAAACACATTTTCTTCGCATATTATTCATTAATCAGATAAAGTTCATATTATCATTGAATAAATTACTTCCTAGAAGCATACTGTAATGTGTCTGCCCATCTTAATAACAAGGTAGAAGTTAATACAGTAAAAAAAAGACTAAAGTCTAACTGGAGGCCGTAGTTTTGAAAGAATAAGCTTTCTGCTGTAGCATTTAGCTGTCCTCAAATGAGCGAGGATCTTCCTAGGGCTGCAACAGAAGTATCAGTTTCTGTTGCTAGTATAGAAAAGTGCAGGTGTCTTGACACGAAGATTTATTAAATACTAGAAAGCATTTATCTCCATAATAAAGAAATTTGTATATTAACTTTTTTTTTGCAGTACATCAAGAGTCACAAATCCCCATCTCTAACAACTGAGCAAGCACGTGAAGAAATTCGGAAGGCACAGGAGGAAAAACTGCTTTGACTCTTTGAATTTTAAGTAAAATTTACATTTACAGATCTCAAGCTGGAACAAGAAACCCTTCCAAATTGCACAGATAAAAAGCTACAAACTATGTAGTGGAAGGATTTGTACTAACTGCTATGTATTTTATTATACATAGTTTATTTTCCTATATCTGAATTTTTTACTAATGTACATGATATAGGGATAGGCAGGAATGTTCAGCCAGCCTAGGTCAGCAAAAAAGAAACCAAGAAAACGCGTCTCTCTGAAGGGAGTGTGGTAAGTCATCCCAGTATGCGTGTTTATCGTGTAGATCGTGTGATCTGCGATAACAGCTGTGATCATGGTAGAAGTGAAAGTCTGTACTACAGCACCCGAGGAATATGATCACAGTAGAAAAATACCATATCCTGGCTTTAGTGCCATATTTAAACAGTGTTTATATACAGTTAGCCTTGTCACATTACTATGAAACCAAACACACACAAAGTTAAGATAAATTCAATACAAGGAAGGCTTATAGCCAACGTACTGGAATCCACCGACTCTGAAATATGAGCCACCATTTTATTTTTATTAAAAAAAAAAAGTGTTTATTGGAAGGCAAAACAAGAAAATCCACAAGTTGATAACATACAGGTGGTGTATGCTGATTCACAGACAGTCACAGTTCCACAACTACAGTAGATCTAGAACAAACTGATATTTCACCATATTCACTGAATGGTTTCAAGAGGGTTTCTGCTATACAAACAAATGACTCTGGAAGAGGTTACCACCACACAGACCTCTGGAGTGGAAGTGCAGTGTAAGGGCCTAACGTCTTTAGCTGGTGGTCTCTGGAAACAGTTACAAAAGGCTTTTTTTCTCATTTAGGTTAAAGGAAGTTTCCAAGAACGTTTCATTGTCAGAAACTTGCAGAGCAGAGAAAATTGATTCTCTTCTATTCAACTAATTCGCTTTATTAAAGGGTATATACAAAAATATAAAAAGCTTAAAGAATGTCTTCCATTACAAAGCATTGAACATCCCTTAGAGCGCTTGAAAAGCTAGAACAGTTAACCCTCGTGTTCTGACCAGAGTTGTGACTGCAGCAGCTGGTGTGTAGGGGCGTTAAGTTGTATGGTAGGTTCTAACAAGCTTGCACAGTGCTCATAGGTCACCTGTACTGGAACTAGATGCTTCATTCCCCATTTAGACATTAGGATACACTGCTCAGCATCAGTCTGACTTGATCCCAAGGCAGCACCCCTCCACTTCAAATAGAATTAACCTTTTGAGAGAAATAAACATACATTATGGAACTAGAGAACATATAACCGTATCAGATAATGTCTGTATTCCACAGGAATGAATGAATCACAATCCTGCACCAGGGACGGCTTGACTGGGATTTAATTCTAGTATAAAATGGGCAACTAATTAAAAAAATTTTGCAAAGTAAATGGAAATTCTTAAACTTGCTAGACATGTCATAGTTACGACTGGCCTTTTTTAAACACTAAACGACAAGTGTTGAAGTACATGTCATAGCTTTCCATTTTTCACCATAGTTTTAAAAGTAATTCATTTGTCACTTCCTCCAGACTTTAATCCGGATTTATACAAGTTTAATGTTTTGTAGAAGATGCAAGACATCTTTCTTCAGAGAGTCTTATTCGGGTGGTGGAGGGTCTTGCGTTTCACGCTTCACTGAAACAATAGGGAAAAGAGTTCTTACACATTCTGCAGTTACCTAAGCTGTCTGAAATGTTTCATGGAATGAGGGCTCTATGAGTAAGGAGTTTTTCCTTCTGGGCTTCATTTGAACCCATCTTATTTCTCAGATCTACTGCAGCCATAGGCAGAAGTGACTTTTCATTTAGCATGCCAATTTTTTTTCCTTTTAGTCGCTGGCAAGTGTAGTTGGTTCTACGTAACACAGACTCTCTGCAAAAATCCATCAATGGTCTTCATTTCTTAAGAAGCACCTCCACTTTTTCTGAACGCTTCCTGCACTACAGTGAATTTATCACCAGTTCTGGCTTTGGCAGAACACAGCGCTAATTGGGGGAAACTCAGAATTGGGCAGGGCCAAACAGTAAGCGTGGTCTAACTTCATTACAACCATAAAGACCTTCCTGCTCCGGCAACCATCCCTCCTGCAGCAGGGCTCCCTCCGCTACCTTTGAGATTGCTCCTATTTTTTGGAGGGTGACATTCAAAGATGCAGGCTCTTGGTATTGCAGCCAGGAAGTGGCTTACACAGAACAGGTTAATTAATGAGTCTTTCAGAAATTAGAATACAACACAGTTCCTAAAAAGGAAAAGATGCAGGGTTAATCAGAGGATATGTCTACTTACCTGTTTTATTGTATCCATTATATTAGAAAGAATTAAGAGTTACTGGTCTTTCGATTTGGGTTTACAGTCTACAGTAAATAGGACAAAATCGCACTCAAGTCTGCACAGCGTTTTAAATTGCTTAGAAACATTCACTTACATTCGTCTCTGGCCTTCATGCGTGCGATAAACGAGTAACTTTTATTTCTTCGGTAGTTTTCGTAAGGGTCATCTAATGCAACTCCCACTCCTTTATATTGATCCCATTTGTCTCGGATATCCCCTCCTTTAATTGGATCCTGAATTCCTTGTTCCTTGGCTCCCAATCCACCAGATCCACTCCATCCTGCAGAAAGGACACAACATTACAATCCTGTCGCTATTTTTTTTTATTACTAGAATTCTGAAGACAGACAAGCATAGACATTTTGGAAACAACCAAAGAAAACGTCAATTTAATACAGCAGGATGGCAACAGACAGCCTGAAACAACGTATGAACTGTCCCATTTATTTCAAAAGCATTAATATGCAGATTCTGGGAGCTGACAAACATCAGCACCATCCCTAAAAACCTTTAAGAGGGCAAGGGGAAAGGCAGCGCAAGCCCAATCTGCCCAGTCAACCCTGCTGACCTGCGCCATAGGGAGATGAAATACCTGGGGGGGAGCTAAGTGCTATTGGATGCCAAACTCACATCGTCTTCCGTGTCCTTCCCAGAAAGGCAACTTCCACCACTGCTCCATGTTGTATATACTTATATCTCTGAATATCCTTACGCTGCCCTTGGAATACCAAGGGATAGTCACTTACGAAAATGCATTAATTAATTGTATCCAAGAGTTGGGTGCCTGATTTTGTTTCCTGGCTCGCGTAAGATTCCAGAAGAGCATCTTACCCATTTTCACTAGCATTTGATGGCCTTTATTTTCTTCTCCGAGTCTTGATTCTGGTATAGGAGGCCCAGAACTGGAGCCTAAACCAGCAGAAGAACTAAAGAAATAAAAAGAAGAAATTAAGAAAAGCGATCCTGTTCTGACACAATGCAAGGTCACTTATATTCTGTTAAACGTTAACATCCAATATAATCCCATCCACTCTACCAAGCTATTCTTTTATAAAGCTATTAGATGACGGAGTTACAAAGGTGCCAGAAATGCCGTACTTGCTTCTCGATACAAGGGAAGTCAAACACTACGGTCTTCCTAACACAGAGAGTACTCGGAGGATTCCTCCTGCTTCCTAGGAAGGCATACGAAGCCTTCATAGTTGCACAGTGTTTTGTTGTAACAAAAAGCCACCACAACAGAGTAACATTCTCTCTATAAGCACACATAGCATATAAATAGTTTCTAAATCTGTTTCCCATTTTCTTTTCTACAATTTGTTGGAATGCTTAATATACCCAGCTTAGGAGAAAAGCACCCTTGGTGGTACTTTTCCAAACACCCCAGGTAAAAAGAGAGAAATAAACAAACAAAAGCTTACGGAGGAGTCGGGCTGCGAGACCGGGACCGGCGCCGCCTTCCCGGCGAGTACGATTTCGATCTTGATCGTGACCGCGATCGCGAGCGGCTATGAGAAGAGCGGGACCTGCTCCGGCTTCTGGAAAGAGAGAGCACACGAGATCAGATGCACAAGCTACCAGAGCAACATCCAGGGTTCCTCATTCAGCCCTGAGGGTTTTTTTTCCACCCCCTTAGTTCCCAAGCTTCAGCCCATTGCACTCTACCTGGACTGAGAGCGTGAATAGGATCGTGATCGAGAGCAAGAGCGAGATCGTGACCTCGAATAGGAGCCAGATGATTTTGAAGATCGTGAATTGGACCGGGAGGATGAGCGACCTCGGCTTTTAGACCGACTGCGAGACCGAGAAGGCCCACTGCACAGACAAAAGCAGAGAAACCCCAGTGAAACTCCTGGGAGAAGCACGTGAAATGCAAATATACTTCTGATCAAATTCAAATTACACACAAAGCACTGTATTTCTGCAGACAATCCAGTGAAAACTTGAGTGTGGCAAAAACTATTTTCTGCAGATCAGACAAATTCCAGCAAATTGAAACTCAGTTATTCCACCAGCATGCCGCTGAACAGACTTTCCCTCTGCATTTAGCCCAAGGTATTCCTAGCACCTTCCAAACGAACAGCAGACAGGATCTCTCACCTATTTCTCTTCTCCTGACCTTTCCTCCGCCTCGCTCTCATTTTAGCTCTGAAGAATTCGTACAGTCCATTCTGCTCCCAGCCTTCACTGCAATAAATCAACCACACATAGAACCAACGTCTGTAAAGTTCTACTTTGATCAACGAAGACGTTCGGGATTTCTGCTAGATTTTGTAGGGAACAAAGGGCCTGGGCAAAAAGGTCTCACAAATCTCAGTGTAAGATCAAACAGCGTGTGCAGTTTAAAATACAACAAGAGCACTCATTTCAGCATTAGAAGAACCAAGACACAGGCGAAGGAAGAGAGAGGCACTTCGTGGTTTGAGACAGCTCCTTAGGGCATTTTCCTTACCATATTGTTAGCTATACCTACTCTTACCTGTTTCTAGGCCTGTCATGAGATGGTGGACTATAAAATGCCTCAACCGCAGCCAGTAGTCTCTCACTGGGGGGCATTGGGGGTGGAAGACGTATATCTTTAGGATCTAAAGGTTTATACTCATGATCTTCAAGCTGCCGGAAACAAAACAAATTACATTCGTGTCATGTGTCATGGGGTGGCTACCTGAAGAGAGAAATACAGATTTAACTGTGTAGGGACCTCACATTTCACTATTGGATAAAAAACGGTCCAGAAATAAGGATTCTGCAGAAGACCCAATGCCTTCTCGTGCCATCACTACCATTTTGAGTTCTACGAGAAAAGCCAGCACTACACATGGTGCAGCATTAACTGCATTTTATCTGTCTGGAGATCCAGATCTCATCTATCCACCTTTGTGGCAACAGTGGCTGGACGGAAGCCTGGCAAAAGCTGGTGTATGCTGAGAGTAACACACAGTTAGAGATGGAAGAGACCTCTTTGTTCATCTCAAACACAGAATGCATAAATGTATGTATCCCTGAAGATGCTGATACAGATACATTTCCTGTTCTCTATCATTCTTTGTTTGTATATGTAACATTAGTGTTGCAAAACATCTTTGTAAGAAAGAATTCTTAATACCAAAAACCAGTACACAGTGACCACATCAGAACTGCAAGGTCCCTCGGGCCATCTGAAAATCACTGGGGATTTCTGTTTTTAGAAAACGGGGTTAAGATTTTCAAGAGTAAATTAGTCTTTCACATATATGAGGCCAACCAGCTTTCACTGGCACACAACACTTGAAAATGTTACCATTTTCACTACCTTCTCCCTCCCTGCTCCTGCCCTTGTATACCCTGCAACAACTTTGGCTAATGGTTGCTGGATGAAAGGATTTGAAATTACAAATGTCCGTGTTAAACTGTCCCTAATATTGACCATAGGATCTAGATCTTTTAATCCTACTTGTCGGGGCCCATTGCAAGCACTTACTTTTACAAGTGGAGCCATCAGTCCAGCAGGAAGATCAAAGTAGGGGACATTTGGCACCAGACTAGGATCATCATGGTTCATGTGAGGGGGGCCTTGTCGCCGCATATGAGGAGGCTGCCCGTTAAATCCATGCGGGGGAGGCCCGAAATCAGGGTGCTGTGGCCCTCCCCAGGGAGGATGCTCGCTGATTCCAGGATGAGGCAATCTGTGACCAGGGTGATGATGAGGAGGTCCAATTTCTGCAGAGTGGGAGGGTTAAAACATTTTACTTAGCTATAGAGAAAGGAAAGCAATCAGAGATGTATACTTGAATTAGTGCATTTATCCTAAAAAACCATCTTGGCACCCAGAGCCTTGCAGATCAAGAAAAGCAACAGAACTGAAGAACTAGAGGCTGGCTACAGGTCCACATTCTGGAACATCTTGCAGTGCATCTCCCTCCCTGGCCATAACAACCGCTCTCAAGACAACAGGATACTTTAACCCTAAGCCACTGCTTACTTTGGGACATTCTGTGGTCAAAAAGTACCACAAGAAAGACACGCTCAAAAACAAAAGGTTTCGGATGCAGCAGGGCAGCTACTGATAAGATCTATTTCTGAAGCCTAAATACACAAGCATGGACCTGTAATTAGTTCTGTCTCTATGCCAAATCATCATATTAAAAAAAAAATAAATATGGCAGGAATTAACTCACATGAGTAGGTGACAAGAAAATACTTTGTTTAAAGAGGCGTTTCGGGAAGAGGTAGAGATAATATCCTGTTAAAATAGAGAAGTGAATGACATCCAATCACTGATGGACGAACCATTTGCCATGAACGCCAGGATACCCTGCTGCACTCATTG